TCATGATTAGGTAGATTGAGTAGGGAACGAGTTTAGAGTATACTTTTGATCACGATGGTATTTTGTGCTTTCGTGGCTGTTACTGTATCCCTAAAGATGATGAGTTAAGACGAGCTATTCTACAGGAGGCTCGTAGTTATCCTTATGCCATGCATCCTAGTAGGGACAAAATGTACAAGAATATCAAGGAGCGATAATTTTGGAGTGGCATGAAGAATAATATTTCAGATTTTATTGCGATGTGTCTGAATTGTCAACAGGTTAAAACATAGCACCAATATCCGTCGGGACTGTTGTAGTCTATTAAGATTCTTGAGTGGAAGTGTGAGCGTATTATGATGGACTTCGTTACTGGTCTTCCTCTGATTCATTCCAAAAAGGATTATGTTTGGGTGATTATGGATCGACTTACCAAGTCAGCTCACTTTATCCTTGTTCGGGTTAATTATTCTCTAGACAAGCTGGCTAGATTGTATATCTTTAAGATCGTTAGACTCCATGGTGTTCCACTTTCCATCATCTCCGACCGAGATCCGAGGTTTACTTCTGGGTTCTGGAAGGCTTTGCACGAGGCTCTGGGTACTCATTTGAATTTCAGTACGGCTTTCCACCCGTAGACTGATGGTCAATCAGAGAGAATAATTTAGCTACTGGAGGATATTCTATGGTGTTGTGTGATTAACTTTCTTGGTAGTTGGGAAGATTTCTTGCCTTTAGCCGAGTTTGCTTATAATAATAGTTACCAGACAAGTATTAGCATGGCACTGTATGAGGCTCTATATGGACGCCGTTGTCGTACTCCTATATGTTGGAGCAAATTTCATGATAGGAAGACTTTGGGTCCAAAGTTAATTTGAGATACTAAGGATACTGTCAGATTGATCTGTGATCGTCTGAGAGATGCGTTCGATAGGCAAAAATCTTATGCATATTAGAGACATAAGGATATCAAGTTTGAGGTTAGGGATTAGGTCTTTCTAAAAGTATCTTCATGGAAGAAAGTGTTGAGATTTGGACGTGAGGGTAAACTTAGCCCTAGATTTATTGGGCCATATCGTATTCTGAAGAAAGTCATACCTGTTGCTTATCATCTTGTGTTTCCTCCCCAACTCAGTCACATTCATGATGTTTTTCATGTATCCATGTTGAGGTGATATCGTCCAGATCCATGTCACATCATTCAGATTGAGGAGGTAGAGTTGAGACCTGATTTGTCTTATGAGGATGAGTATGTTCAAATTTTAGATTGGGATGATAGAGTTCTTCAGAATAGGCATATTCCGATGGTCAAAGTTCAATAGAGTAATCGCGGTCAGAAACTACTTGGGAGAAATTAGAGTCGATGAAGGCTCAATTTCCGCATATGTTTCTAGCTGGTAAATTTCGAGGATGAAATTTCTTTTAAGAGATAATGATTAGGGCCTAAATTTTTTTAAAAACTTTTCCTATGACTAAATTGAAATTTTAATTAAATTCGGGGACCAAAGTGAAATTTTAATTAAATTCGGATCCAAATTTAGAAATTATGAAAAACTGGAGAACCTATGGCATGATTTTGCCATTTTCTTTTTTTGAGTTTATATAACCCCAAAATATGTAAAGTTTCCATTTGGAAACTAAAATTTTATCTATTTTCAACCATTTTCTCTTATAGAAGGAAACATTTGATCTTCAATTCGTCGCCGATCGTTGCTCCGTTTTCGACACTTCCCGCACCATCATGTTCTTTGCATCGTCTCGAGTCATCCGGTGTCCACTTTGTCTCCGTTGCTGTCGGCATGTGAATGGGTGAAAAAGAATAAATTTCTGACGTTTTAAAATCGAGTTCTCCGCCGCTCACCATTGTGAACCGAGATTGGTAAGTGTCTCAAAACCCTTTAAAATATAATTATAAAATTTTTTAGAATTTTTTGACCATCTACGGCCCCGCACGCGTCGTTCCTGCGCGTGGGGAAAGTCCACCGCCTGGTAGACTACTTGGAAATGGGTCGATCCGACCTGACCCGCTGACCCGTGTCCGACATGATCCTATTCGAATGTTGACCATTGACCGTTGACTTTGACCAAAAAGTCAAAACTTTCAAAAAGTTGTATTTTATGTTTTTGACGTCCCGAGTCTGATTCCACAATCTGTTTTGCCAAATTCTGACCCGAAAGCCTCGAATCGAGCTCGTTAACCCGAAAATACTTTTTAGCATTTTTGTTTATATATTTGAGATTTGGTTATAGAATTGATCAAAGAAGATATTTTTATGAAGGTACTTGTGTTTCACCTAACCGAGGGTCAGTTAGATCCGAAGTTTCCCGTTTGTTAGATCTGCACGATCCACGTTCCTTGAGAGTTACTTATAGGTGTTTGTAAATTGTTTAAATATAAGTTTTTATTATTCATATTAGGATTTTGATATAGATTTTCCGATTTGTAGGATCTAGCACTGCCACAGATCGTGATCGACAGACGCAGTAGTAGACTTTCCTATCAGATTACTCAGTCAAGTATAGGTGTGTTTCCTGATGGTGTTACATTATTGTTTTAAACAATATATCTGAACTGTTTTAGATTTATGATGATACTAAATATTTTTACGAGACAATACCCGATTTTCTGAATATTGTTTATATGATATCTGATTTACCGCATAATTCTAATATAATCTCTGTTTACGGTATTTCTGTACCTGATTTCTGAATATGGAACATTTTCATGTTTTAATGGATTAATTATTGTTTTCACTCAAATACATACATGTTTATTACTGTTATTGAGAGTATTATTGGAGGAAGTATATCAGGCCTAGTCTATGACTTGTAAGTCCTTACCGTAGGCTCCTCAACTTTGTGCTCAGGGTAAGTCCTTACCACAAGCTCCTCAGGATTGTGCTCAAGGTAAGTTCTTACCGCAGGTCCTTATGCTATGTGTATAAGGCCCTTACCGGATGTACAGGTGGTTGTACGGTTCTGGGAAACCTACACATTCTGGTGATCGGATGAGGGGTAGTGTTCATATTTTTAAAACATGTTTGATAAACCAATTTTGCTGAAATATTTTATCTGTATGTTTTTATACACCGTAAGGAGCACATTGGACTTTTAGCTCATTATGTAAATTTTAAACCTTTCAGTTAGCAGCATACCTTTAGGCTAGCATACTTCGCATCAGGAGGAACGAGTTCTCCTAATTTTGTTCCACTGTATATTTCTATATGTCTTTCTGTTATATTTTGATGACATGTGTTTTTGTTACTGTCTTGATATATATGTATTACCGGTATTTTGATATGTATATGTTTTATACAATTTTCGAACATATGTATACATATATGTTTATCGTATGAATCTTTCTTATGGATTTTAACGTTGTTTTAAAAATGAAAAGAATTTTTGAATAAGATATGTAACCGCCTAGATTTGAGCATAACGTCTAGGTCGAATCTAGTGGTTTACAATTTATAACATATAAATTTCATAAAAATAATTGTTTAAATTCGGATCTTTTAAAAAACAACATTTCTTTTTATCTGAGTCATATACATTCAAGTTTTGGGTCTTTAAACCATGATGTGAAACAAAGATCGGATTAACGGGTCATGCATTGTACAGTTTTGAGCTTTGGGCCTTCCATACGGAGTACCAGTCATGCAAGATTTGATAATGGGCTTTGATCTTAATAAATTTCATGTTTCAAGTTTGGGCTTTCGATTTAAAGATTTTAGGTTTTCATATTAAAACCATTGGGCTTCAGGATTTTATTTGAAACTGGCTACTGGGACTATAGTAATTTATTTAGGTTATAATTGAATTTGGAGTTGTTATCTTGACCAAAGTTTTTTTTAACACTTAATATCCAATTAATACGGATTGATCCGAATATTGAGTGTTACATTAGTTACCGAAATAGTTCGGTACAGATTTTTTTTAGGTTCAAGTCTGAACAAAATTTAAATTTTCCATTCATTAAATCAACATAAGCATCAAACGGAAGATCTTAAGTCATTATTAATTGAGAACTTTTTTATTAAAGAGAAAACAAAGCTAAATCATAGCTTCAGTGTAACCGAGAACAAACTTTGAACATACAAAAGTTTTACCAATTCGACAAAAACATGTTTAGGGGTAATTTCATCTTCTCACATAAATTGTACGTAAATCATGCTAAAATTTAAAACTTAATATCAAGATAAACTAAATACATTTTTCAGTGAAATGGAAATTGGATTCGCTTTTAGGAGGTCTAAAAGAGATGAATTAAAAATTTTAGAGTCCAATGGTTGTCATTGATGACAATCGCTGCTGACCGATGACGATAACCTACAATAACGAGTGGCGGCCAACAACGTGAATTTTGCTGAATTCAGTAGTCAAATTGATATTTTATATAGAATTTACGAGTTAACTTAGTATTTTATGTAAACTTTAAAGTCAAACTAATATTTTGTCTAGAATTCAAGGGTCAAGTTAATATTTAATCATTTTTACTAATGTGCCACATCAGTAAAGTAACGGGAATTGACAACCCGATGATAAAAATAAAACGGACCGAAAACAAAAGTGATCAAAACCAAACTTTTTTAAAATCAGTGATCAAAATAGAACAAACAAAAATATAGGGGGATCATCAATGTTGTTTACCCAATAATATATGTATCATTTTTTTCTTTAATTCTTTTCCTTTTCTCTTTCTTTTAATATTTTTTTATCAAGCATAAGGTAACACAAATATTAATGGAACAAAAGAGGAAAAGCCTGATTTCAATGATAAGATTCAACTAAAATTGTTTGAAATTAGGGATCAGTTTAAAATTTTGTCAGTTTGGCGGAGTTTATGAAGTAATTAACCCTGGAAAATTGAAAATCCAAGGGACCAGAGCTGAAACTGAACATACAGCACTGTTTATGCCACGTGGCAAAAATAATGTTTACATGTATGGCTCAGCCAATGAGGACCCAACTAATTCCACAGTCTCAATGGTGTACTTAAAAAAACCCGTTTAATCATAATAAATAAATAAAGATAAAAGGAAAGAGAGGTCACTGAACAAACGAGAGAGCATAGCTAAAGTCAAGGTACGCTTTCATTTATCCATGGCGGAGAAGAGTTTCAAGTACGTCATCCTCGGCGGTGGTGTGGCTGCTGTAAGTTCCGTTGTTCACTCCTCGCTCATCGATTCTAATTATTTTACCATTTTATTTAATTTCGTTCGAATTTATGATGTTTATCTATGCCTTTGCTTTTTTGATTTTGAAATTATCGTCTTCTATATGTTATCATTTATCGGTTAATGTATTAAAGGCATACGGATCTAGCGTTGCGGGGAAAATGAAAACGGAGTACGAATATTGACTCAACAAGAAGAAAAATAATTGAATGCGAAATCGAAGGTTTAGGTTAGTTTTTACTCGTTTAGTCACTGGATGAAGATAAATGACTAACTGATTTAAGCTTTATGTAGTTTTTGAATTGAGTTTCCCGAAAATCCGTGTTTAGGCAATCAATCAAGCATTTTTTTTTCTAATTTGTTTCACAATCTAATGATTCTTTTGCTGTTATAATTATGCAGAGTGTTGTGTAAGTTTGAAATTTTGTTTTGATTTGTTTAAACTTCGCTTCCTTTTTCTGAAAATTTCCTCTTTGGACTTTATAGGGATATGCAGCGAGGGAGTTTGCCAAGCAGGGAGTTCAGCCTGGTGAGCTAGCAATTATTTCCAAGGAAGCGGTATGCTCTTGACCATACCTAAGAGCATTTGTTTTTTATCAATGCTTTACCAAATGATTGCTTAATCCATTAACTAGAATTGTATCCATTTCGTTTGCATTTTACGTTTTGGACGACAATATTCTTTACTATCAATAACAATTGTTTTATTTTAATTATTAATTGAGCTTTGAAAAGCAAAAGATTGCATCACTTAATTGACTTCTGAGAACACTGTTTAGCTTTTGAAAATCTCTCATTCTGCTTTCTTTGTGGGATTTCCGAGTTCTAATGCATTAAAGCCAGCAACAGTGCCATTTACATTAAAGCACTCATTTTAACTTTTAGCTGCTATTTTTGTTATTTGTTGTTCCTTTCAAGGGATAAAATTTATATTGTTTATTACTTTTTTTTTTCTTTTGCTTTCTTATGCATGTAGGTGGCTCCATATGAACGTCCTGCTCTGAGTAAAGCGTATCTCTTCCCTGAAGGTAAGCCTAATATGCTTTTTATATACCAATTTGCAAAACTGAAATAAACTCTAAACACCTTTAAATGTGATTTAACCATACTTTTTGTTACCACATTAGGTGGCCTTCTGGTTTGTCTGTTTCCTGGATCGATGTGGTGATTTGTTCTTTGCAGGAGCTGCAAGACTTCCTGGTTTCCATGTCTGTGTTGGAAGCGGTGGAGAGAGATTACTTCCGGAGTGGTACAAGGAAAAAGGTTAGTAACATGTGTCTACCTGGATTTTGTCAGTGTGAAATTTGAAAATTGCTCAACCAATGGATAATGGATTTGTTAAAAGGGAACTTAAATTTGGAAATGGCCCTCGTTGATATACTTTTCCTGTTCTGGTGCTTGCAGGGATTCAATTGATCCTTAGCACTGAAATTGTGAAGGCAGATCTTCCTGCCAAGACTCTAGTTAGCGCAGCTGGAGAAACATTCAAGTATCAAATTTTGATCATTGCAACTGGTTCCACAGTGAGTTAAAGTTTCTAACAGTACATATTCCTTGTCTTGTCTGGCATAGAAAGAAACTTGCATATTTTAACACACTTTTCTTTTAGGTTATAAGGTTGACAGATTTTGGCGTTCAAGGAGCTGATGCTAAAAACATCTTTTACTTGAGAGAAATTGACGATGCTGATAAGTTAGTAGAAGCAATCAAAGCAAAGAAGAATGGCAAGGCTGTTATCGTTGGGGGAGGCTATATTGGTCTTGAACTTGGTGCAATAATGAACATTAACAGTTTTGATGTCAGCATGGTGTTCCCTGAACCATGGTGCAGTAAGTAAATTTCCAACTGTAGGCCTTCCAGTATAACTTAATAAACATATGTCATCAGGACTGATTATGAACGAACTGATCTGGTCTCTAGTGGATTTCTAACTACAAGATTGTTCTTATAGTGCCCCGGCTTTTCACCTCGGACATCGCAGCTTTCTATGAGGATTATTACACTAATAAAGGGATCAAAATTATAAAGGGAACAGTTGCAGTTGGTTTCACCGTTGACTCAAATGGAGAGGTAAGAACTAAGAAGTTATCTTTCGGTAATATTTAATGGGGAATGGAAATCTGTAATCATTTTAATACTGATCCATTTTGCGCACCTGTTACAGGTGAAGGAAGTTAAACTCAAGGATGGCAGAGTTCTGGAAGTGGACATTGTCGTTGTCGGTGTTGGTGGAAGGCCTCTTACAACATTATTCAAAGGGCAGGTTGAAGAGGAAAAGGGTGGAATAAAGGTTGGTTTCATCAGTGACATAATAACAAATGCCTTTTCATCTATATATGGCAGTTTGAAATTCTCATTGCACTATTATAGAGATCTGCAGTCGCCTGAAGTGGTTTTCAATTTTGTATCATATTCATCTCAATACTATTCATTAAACATTTATTCCTATTAAAGAATGATATGTGATTGTATAACACAATTTGTTTCATTGCAGACTGATGCTTTTTTCAAAACAAGTGTTCCCGATGTATATGCTGTGGGTGATTTAGCCACTTTTCCTCTCAAGTTATACAATGAGTTGAGAAGGGTTGAACATGTAGACCACGCCCGAAAATCAGCTGAACAGGCGGTAAAGGTGTGTTATCTCACTTAGTTTTTCTACTTCTACATTTATGACATGATCTTATACTCGATTATCGGCTAAATGTTACTTCCCGGCAATTTTTGCAGGCCATCAAGGCAAGTGAGGAGGGGAAATCTGTTGATGAATATGACTACCTACCATACTTCTATTCTCGTTCCTTTGATCTAGCATGGCAATTCTACGGTGACAATGTCGGAGATTCAGTGATTTTTGGAGACAACAACCCGAAATCACCAAAGGCGAAATTCGGATCTTACTGGATCAAAGATGGGAAGGTGGTTGGAGCTTTCTTAGAGGGCGGCACTGCTGAAGAAAACCAGGCTATTGCTAAAGTTGCTAAGCTTCAGCCTTCAGTTCAAAGTTTGGATGCCCTGAAAAGTGAAGGTCTTTCTTTCGCCTGTAAGATCTGATGATTAATACCTGCCACGCGTTCCAACAAATATGATCGTTGCTTCCTTATTGCACCAGGACCATATAGATAAAGACTTGGAATAAGTTTCCTTTGGATTCAGCACATGATTATGCGCTTTGCTTTGCTTTCTTATATGAATAATTAAGATTTATATTTTGGCTAAAAGCTTACATTTGGGGTTAACTTTTTCAAATTAGATCAAATAAAGGGGTTATGTCAATGCAAAAACATGAATTATTGTAACATATATTTCTAAAATATGGGGTAGATTCTAAATTTGATTTCAATCAATAGGTATAAAAGAATGTTTAAGTAGAATAATACTATTTAAATAATTAAAGCATATATAAATTCAAATATAACAATAAAAGACTTCTAACTCTTAATTAAGAAAATAATTAAATATTTATAAACAACTTAGAAAAAGACCGATTAAACAAGTATTTTTTTAAATGAATATTTATCAAAATTAACAATGAACACATCAAATTCATTAAATAAAATTTTAATTGATAAACGAGATCGGCAAAAGTACCCAGATAATGCTACAGGGAGCGTTTAATTCCCAAACTAACGTGCTTCCCACATTATTTCCCCATCTAATGTATTTTTTTTATAGTAATCACTTAAAGACCCTAAGATATCTCAGCGTCTTTGGGCTAAAATTTTCATACATGGATTACTTAGCGTATTTAGTTAATTTTTTTATGCTTACTGTGCATTTTTGGAGATTTTACCAAAAAATCACATTTTCCTTAAATATTTATATTTCAGACACCCTTTGAGATAATATTCCCGATCTAACACCCTTTGCAGAAAGACGCAGCCCATGCACCACGCCTTACGCTGATGTGGCGCCACATGTAATAAGGTGTGACCCATGTTAGGACAGAATAAATACCGAAGGTGCGGCCCATGCACCTTTCATCCCACCGACCCAACTATATGTTCACACCATCCATCACATCCTATAAATACCCCACTCTCAACTATTTTCACCACATTAAATCCTCTCAAATTCTCTCAAATCCTCTAAAAAACCAAACCTCGTTCAAATTTTATTTATAAGGTATATTTTATTATATTTAATATTTTGTTAGTATTTTATTTAATTATTTAATTATTTTTATTATTTTATTTAAATATGTTATTTTTGCAGTTATAAAATGGAAAACGGTCTGCTTCGTTTGGATGAAAATCTATATAAGTTAACGGAAACAATGATGTTGGATATCTGTACTGAAGCAACGACATTGTTTTAGTTGAGAGGATTGTTGTGAATGTTTACAGGTTGAGAGCGTATTTATAGCCGAGAGAAAAGTTTAAAAGCCGAGAGAAAAGTTTAAAAGCTGAGAAATACGGATATAATTATTGAAGGCGCGACCCATGCACCGCGCCTATCTGGTGTGTGTGTCAGATGACAGTAAGACGCGACCCACGTGGCACCACATCAACGTAAGGCGCGGTGCATGGGCCGCGCCTTTCTGCAAAGGGTGTTAGATCGGGAATATTATCTCAAAGGATGTCTGAAACGTAAATATTTAAGGAAAATGTGATTTTTTGGTAAAATTTCCAAAAATGCACAGTAAACAGAAAAAAATTAACTAAAGACGCCGAGTAATACATGTATTAAAATTTTAGCCCAAAGAGGCCGAGATATCCTGGGGTCTTTAGGTGATTACTGTAGAAAATACGTTAGATGGGAAAATAATGTTGGAAGCACGTTAGTTTGGAAATTAAACACTCCCTATAGCATTATGTGGGCACTTTTGCCAAAGGATATCAATATAATCATTTCCTTAAATATTATTGAGATTTGAATTCTTTTTACTATTGTATTTGAGTTTATAAAACAATTTATATATTTTAATTATCTTTAATTATTTAAATACTATATTAGGATAACACTTTTATACCTTATGAAGATCAATTCAATACAAGTCACCTCTCCCACTTCAAAAAAAAAAAAAAAACAATACAAGTCACCTCTAAAAACATCTCATATAATTAATTCTGCGTGTACATAACATAATCATATTGTAAAAGATCATTCTATACAAGTCACCTCTAAAAAAAATCCTTAATTAAAATTTTTTAACTTTATATTTTCGATCATTAAACATAACATTAACATAAAAAAAGAATCTGATCTTTTTATTTTTATTTTTTGCCTGAAATCATTAGCTCAAACAAATTTCTGATCATTGGATGTGGTCTCCTCATCCTTACAAAAGATGGTTTGAAACTCAAATAGGTAAATCAAGGTTTTTAGAGATTAAGGTTGTTGGAAGGATAGCCCTTAGCTTATCCAATGGCAACAAGAAGAAATTACTGACATAAGGCTTCATTCTATATATTAATTTAATACCAAACAACGGAACAAAAAAATTTCAACCTCTTGATTTCGAACATAGGCCTTTTGTAAACCAATCTTATTAAACTATATATGATTTAATACTGAACTTATTAATCTCATTTTTTTATTTAATTGTTGAAATATTATCTTAGTCTTGAAATATCTAATAAGAACCCTTTCCAAACAAATTAAACTTATCTAAGTCTTTTATCCTAGAATTATCCCGATAGCATTGTCTCGTACTCCTACAACAACAAGAATATTAAGATAAAAGATGTTGCAAGACCTAGTGAAAGTTAAAGTGCAATCTCATAATTCAATGTGATACGAGGCCTCGAGCCTCCTTAATTATCTTAAGGAGGCGTTATAGTATCTATTTGGTTCCAGTACCCGTACATCTAAACTCCACGTAAATTTTAAAGGTAGCTTACGTCAACATAATTCTACTTGCTAACATAAGATAGGAAGATAAGTTGATCCAAACATTTGATAGTATAATAAAAATAATTCTGATATACCAAGAAAAGAGAAATGGAAACTATTTATATTTATTATTCCTTTCTAATTATTAACATTACACAATGCCAAAATCAAAAAATTGGCTTAAATACAAGAATAGGGCTCTTAACACTGTGGCCTTTATCACTGATCCATTCAAGAGTAGCCGATAGATTCTCTGTCCTATGCTTCCTTGTTTCACCCTTCACCAAAACCTTGAAAGCTCCCCTTTGATTCATCCTACTGAATTTCAACGTTTTGGGGATAACATCAACAGAAAGATCCTTGGTGGAAGCCACTTCGGCTTTGTATTCCAAATTCCCAGGTTCAACATTTGTCACGATTCTATGAAACACAGCTGAAATTCTAGATTCTGTACCATTGAGAAAGACATGCATTGAAGGATAGTTGAGCGCATCAACTCCAGGCGCCGGTTTAAAGCTGGAGCAGTCATATTTTCTCTTCCCACCGACGAGTAAGCTAATGGTCGTAGCGTTGTACCCTTGTTTGCAAAGGAAGCCAATGTAAGAACTCTCTTTAATGTCGTAGATGAGCCCAGGGCTTATCGCCTTTGATGGATTTATCTGGCCTGACCCAGTGCTTAGTTCCCCATGCTTGTCTTTGATCTTCATGGGAGTTGCTGAAGAAACAAAATGACAAGTAATTCAAATGGAAAAAAGGATTTATCTGTTTACATTTGACTCAGAGAGGTTTACCAGTAGTCATGAGAGCAGATTTAATGGCTGCCGGCGACCAGTCTGGGTGGAAAGACTTGACATATGCAGCAGCAGCTGTAACATGAGGGCAAGCCATTGATGTCCCTGACATTAAGTTAAATGAAGAGTACCGTGGGTCACTTGGTGTTCCAGTTATTGATCTCAGTTTTGTGTATCCTGCCAATATGTTCAGCCCCGGAGCAGCAATATCAGGCTGGCCATGGGAGTCTCTCGCGTTAGAAAACTGAAACAGCGTAAAGGAGAGGGTTTCACGATGATTTTACCTTGAGAATGTTGCGGCTCAACCATTGAGGTGCAGGTCCTCTGGAAGAGAATGAAGCCACAGATGGAGCAACCATTCGATCAGTTGTCGACTTATATATGACAGCTCGAGGGTTCCTGCCATTATCAACAGAACCTTGTTAGTTTTTAATTTCTCATGATTTTGATGATTGAAACCTAAAAGCTACACTTACGTTGTGGAGTTGATATACCGATCAAGCTTATTGCCGACCTTGCTCCGAACCACCATTGTTGCCGGTGTCAAAGTGAGGATATAATAGTCCGTTGGCGCATCGATCGCCATTATCGTTCCTGCCCCTCCAAGCTGGCGGATGGTATCGTCCTGAGTGGTATACCCCAAGCAATACACAATCTTTCCCTTCACCAAGTTTTCGCTCAGAGTTCCAGAATCACAAGCACTTCAATCATGTTTAAAAATACTTGAATTAGAGGCCGTACTGCAGAATATTATTAACAGGTGCAAAATGCAAATACCTGATATTTCCGTAGTAGGTTTCATTTGTATAAGTAACATTGGTTGCATGTGCTCCGTTTGTTAAAGGATACATTTTGTTTTTCATCGTGAATGTGTTGATTCCATTGCCCTGTTTTATCACATGATTTCAGTCTTCTTGAGTGTAGATTCGATAAAATAAATAATCGGAAACTCACAGATGTTATCGTGCCATCGCCAAGTTTAATAATCGAGCTGAATTTCCTGTCAATGCTGCTAGCTGCAACGGTGAAGATCCATGGTGCAACGTTTTCAATCGTTAAGATCTCAGGCCCTTCGTTTCCACCAGAACAAGATGTCAAAATCCCTTTCCTCATTGCATGGAAAGCTCCTATAGCGATTGTATCATGGAAAAACTCCCTGGAATCACCACCTAATGAAAGGGATAATAAATCCACTCCATCGTCGATGGCATCGTCCATTGCTGCTAGTAAATCGATGTCACTGCATCCGTCACTCCAGCAGATCTTGTACATGGCTATACGAGCTGACGGCACGCCACCACGAGCCGTTCCTTTGGCTAAACCGTAAAGGCTGGAATCCTTCACAGCTATACCGGCAACAGTGGAGGCAGTGTGGGTGCCGTGACCCTCGGTGTCAACCGGTGTCGGATCATCCATGTCAGGAGGAGTGTTGTCTAGCTGATAGTATCTTGCACCAATGATCTTGCTGCCCATGTTAGACATTGTTCAACATCAAATTTAATTAAATCTATTCCAGTTAAAATTCCTAAGAGAAAAAGAAATTACTTGTTGCAACCAGTGAAATTGGCTCCTTTATCACATTTACCCTTCCATTTAGCTGGTGGAGGACCATAGCCTGAATCATCAAAACTGGGACATCCAGGCCAAATCCCTACAAAACAACATTAAACAATTTGTCTTTTATAAGATGGTAATTAAAACAGATGAAATTTTGATTACAAAACATGCAATTACCAGTGTCCATTAAACCAACTATGATGTCACTTTCAACATTGACATTCCTTCTCTTTATACTAAGAGGCATTCCCAGAAAATCCCACGATCTTGTTGTATGAAGTTTTCGTCTAGTGTTCTCAAACACTGATACAACTCCATCTTCATCTGTAAAGCAATTTGAACAGCTGATTTTTTTTCTTAAATAACTAAATCATCAAATTGAGTATAGCTAAGGGACAGAGATCATTATTTGAACAATTGAAAGTTGTTTCCAACCAGATAGTCTTTTTGCTTCATCTGGCAAAAGCCTAGCAGCAAATCCATTGATGCTCTTTCCATAGCTATATATTTTGGATTCTCTGGCTGTCTTCTCACTAAACGAAAAGAAAAATGGTAAAAAAAACATCATTTTATTTGAATATAATGTTTGCAAAAGCGAAAACAAACAAATATTACTCTCCAATCGCCTTCAGGAGCATATTATCATGTTCCTTCATGGTTGAAATCCTGTCTGCATCATGCGATACTTCTCCCATGTATACAATATATATCTGTCGTCAAAAAAATATACAATAAATCAACATTATATGAGAAATTAATTGGTTTCAGATCCTATATGTGTATGTATGTATGTATGTATGTATGTATGTATGTATGTATGTATATACCTTCCTTTCATTTTCAGTTGATCCTTGGATTAAGGTTGTTGCAACACATAAAAAACAGACAACAGACAGAAGACAATGTGTCATTGTAATTTCAATATTTTGCATATTTCTGTAAATAAAAAAAGTAAAGGAGATTTTGGAGTACAAATTAAGTTGGAAGAGTGGATTTGTCTGAGTTATAAATAGATGAGCAAAAGCGTTAGAAGATGATTTGGTTATTACCAGTGCCAGTCAAGAACGAATTAACCGTAAGTTTGCATGGTCTATTTGAATGTGAGATTTTCATGGCTTTTATTTGGGATCTCTATTGCTCAAGTTATTGGATTTTTCCCAATCATAATTCTAAGATTAAAAAAAAACCATAAAATTAAATGTCTTTAAAAATTATTAATTATCAATTAATCTGTCGGCATGAAGTACTAGTTCATTTAAATAATGTAACGATTTTAACTTTCCATATTAGATTTAAAGGATCATCTCGAAATACATTTTATAATATTTGATCATGATTAGTCGGTCAATAAAAAATTAATTTAATTTGAACTTTCAACTAAATAAAATTTCAATTTAATTTGATAAAAGGGGTAAATCTCAAATTTACACATGAACTTTGATCAAATATATAAAATGATATGTGAACTTTGATTTTAATTTATTTGTATACATATAAACATAATTTATTTTCATATTGCGTAGTTATAATTATTTTCTTATGATATATGTAGACGTAAAGTGATCTTACATCAATAGTACAACAACAACAACAACAACAAAACCCTATTCCCATATGCAATGGGGTAAGGGGGAGGTAGAGTAGTAGGCTGCCCCCAACGCATGGTTAAGAGCAGCTTCCGTGGAAGACCTCCGGCAGTCAGAAAATTAAAAATAAAGATAAAATGCAATGCAATGCATGTATAAATAAATAAGTAAATAAATATTTGAACAGTCTTCATATACAATCTTCATATGCGCGTCATATAATGGGAAATAATCCTTGCTAATAAATCCCTGCATAATAATCTCAGCATATAGACAGAAACCTAAGACCCGACTAAAATTAAAGAGAGGAAACATGAAGAGAATGATACACAGAAGTTGAACGATAGCAAGCTACGAGAATTAATAAAGTTAAATGGGTTAAAACCTAAACTAAGGCAACATTAATCCGCTACCCTAGTTCTAAGCCTTCATTAATTCCAATGACAGAAACGTATAAAAAGTAAAAAGTCATGAGAATTACTATAAAGACATTAAAAGAAGACAGAAATGCTACACCATATGGATGTGACCCGCACTAATCGACTACCCTGGTCTTAAGTCTCCATAATTTCCTATCAGAGGTCATGTCCTCGGTAAGGGCTAAATCCTTCAAATCAGATCTTAAGCAGTCTTCCCACTTCTGCCTTGGTCGTCCTCTCCTTCTGGCACCGTCGACTGTAATCGACTCTACCCTCCTGACCGCATCCGACGGGTGTCGCCTAAGGACATGCCCAAACCACCGTAGTCTTCCCTCTCTCAATTTTTCGGATACAGGCACCACCCCCAGGGACATCCTAATAGCAGAGTTTGGTGTCATGTCCCATAGAGTCTTACCACATGCCCATCGAAGCATTCTCATTTCTGCGGCCTTCATCCTCCTTACGTGATCCTTCTTGATTGCCCAACATTCTGATCCATACAACAGCGCTGGTCTTATTGTCATTCTATAAAATTTTCCCTTAAGTTTTTGAGGCACCTTCTTGTCACACAAAACTCCAGTAGCTGCCCTCCACTTTAGCCATCTCGCCTTTATACGGTGTGTAACGTCATCATCTACACCCTCATCCTTATGTATCATAGACCCTAGGTACTTAAAACAATCCTTTGAGGGGAGAACATGTCCTTCTATGCATACTTCTACATCTTCATCGTTTTGGTTCCCACTGAAGTTTGAACATAAATACTCTGTCTTTTCAATATTGATCCTTAGACCTTTTTCTTCCAAAGCAGTCTTCCAGGTAGTCAGTCTACTATTCAGCTCAGTTTTTGTTTCAGCAACTAGGACAATGTCGTCAGCGAAAAGCATACACCATGGAACACCGTCTGGTGTCGCACAATAGATGTCGTCCATAATCAAGGCGAAGATGTAAGGGCTAAGAGCCGACCCTTGGTGGAGTCCAATTTCCACCGGGAATGCCTCGGTGTCGCCAACTATAGTCCTGACGTATGTAGTAGATCTACAGTACATATCACGAATCGCCCAGATATAAGCAGTTGGGATCCGTCTCGTTTCCAAGGTCTTCTAGATCGTATTGCGGGGAACGCTATCATACGCCTTTTCAAGGTCAATGAACGCCATGTGAAGATCTCTATTTTTTCCCCTATATTTCTCCATAAGCCGTCGAAGTAGATGAATCGCCTCCGTAGTAGACATGCCTGGCATAAAGCCAAATTGGTTTTCCGAAACCCTAGTAACCTGTCTCAACCTAGCCTCTATCACCCTTTCCCATAGCTTCATGGTATGACTGAGTAGTTTAATACCTCTGTAGTTGCCACAACGTTGGGGATCTCCTTTATTCTTAAAGATTGGTATCACCGTAGACTCTCTCCACTCCTCTGGCATCTTGGCAGTCTCTAAAATAATATTAAAGATGTTGGTCAACCACTTAACTCCCTCTTCTCCTAGGGCCAACCACACAGTGATAGGAATTTGATCTGGACCGACAGCTTTGTCCCTCCCCATCTTTCTAAGAGCCATTTTGACTTCCTCAAACCTAATCCTACTTGTAGGGCAGTCATTGGCCATAGTATGATGGTCGACTGGCCCATCAACAGTATTATCTCTACAGGGACAGGCACCGTCATTAAACAAGACAAAGAAGTAACTACCCCAAACCCTCTTAATATCATGATCTTTCACTAAAAGAACACCATTGTTGTCCTTAATACACCTAATGCTACCTAGATCCTTTTTCCTATTCTCCCTGGATTTTGCAAGTCTGAAGATGCCGTTTTGTCCTTCCTTGGTGTCTAATCTCTTGTACATTTCCTCGTATGCCTTTTCCTTTGCTTTAGCCACCGTTTTCTTGGCTTCCCGCTTTGCTTCCTTGTATATTTGTTTAGCTCTTGATCTTTCTTTGTCGTCATTGCATTGTAGAAACTCCTTGAAGCAAGTTTGCTTTGTCTTCACCTTAGTTTGGACTTCGTCGTTCCACCACCACGATTCTTTATGCTCATTGACCTTCCCTGTCGACAACCCAAGTGTGTTTTTGCCCACCTCTTTGATGGAACTTGCCATATTTTTCCATAACATATCAGCATTATTTGAGTTTGTAGTTCTAAAATCTGTATTAGACAAAACCTTACTCCTAAAGTCATCAGCTGTCGCTCCATGTAAGTTCTTCCAAAGGATCCTAGGTTTACCAAGTTTAGCCCTCCTATGGGTGCTCTGCCCATGGCGTACGCGAAACACCAAAACCAACAATTTGTGTTGTGATGCACAAGCCTCTTCAGGGAACACCTTACAGTCAATGCAAGCCCATCGATCCCGATTTCAAACCAAGATGTAGTCGATTTGGGTACAATGTCCCCTGCTATGGAACGTAATCAAGTTCACATCTCTCTTGTTAAAGAAAGAGTTAGTGACCACCATATCGTGTGCAGTAGCAAAATCATATATTACATTATATATTGAACAAAAGTTAATGTGTAGTTTTGATAGAAAATAAGAAAATACTTTAATTTTGAATTAGACTATGTAGATAATATTTTAAGAAATAATCAATGATTAAATTGATAAATCATCAACTGTCAGTCTAACTAATTTGATCGATCTGTGTTGAAATTTATAAAATACAAATTAGTTTAATGAATATTATTCAAGAGTGATGATTTAATAAATAAAAAAACTCATAAAAACCACAAAATTCTAAGAAAAAATATTTTTTCAAATTATATTCATAAAATGTAATTATGATTAATTACTTCTAAAAAATTACTAAAAACTCATAAATTTGTAAAAAAAAAATCCTTATAAATTCTAAAAAAATAGAAAACTTAAAAATTTTAAAGAAGTTTTATGGATTATTTTAGCATGTTTTATGATTTTTTAGAAAAGAACATAAACCTATACCTATATATATATAGTTTCAATAATGTTTTTGAAACTATTAGAAATATTTTAACATTTTTTAAATTTTCATTATGTTTTTAAATTTTTATTTTTTAATTGTTTTGATACATAATAGAACTTAATATTTTTAACTATTTATAAAAAAAGAGAGACTAAAAGTAATAGGCAAAATTTTAAAAAAAATAGAGAGATTAATTTGATGTAAGAAATAATAAATTAGTTAAAATAAATTTTATTTATAATACAAAGAAAAAAAATATATTAAACAAAATATTAATACCTTAAACCAACACAAAAGAAAGGGTAAATAAGGTATATCCACTACTTTCTATCTAGAAAGGAAAAATGTTTTCCTTCTATTGTAATGGGAATCACATTCTCGTGGAAAATAACTCCCATAAAATGTTATAATTATATATAATTATAATATAACGTTTTAAATATTATAATCACATCTAAGTTATTTAAGTTCTTATAAAATTAAAATTTTAAATTAAATATAATAAAAAATATTTAACATATAATGATATTTATATATGTAAACTTAAAAATAACATCTCCTAATAGCAATAGAGTTTGTTCTCTTTTTCTCTATTTTTTCATAGTCGTTAGTAGAGTTGGGTATACGAGCTATCTGTCTATTTAGCCCGCGGGTTTTGACGGTGCGGGTTTAAACGGAGCGGTTTAAAAAGCCCGCAATCATAAACAGTCTTGAATTCTAAGCCCCGCGGCCCGTCCATTTAACCTGCAGGCTAAACGGGCTTACCCGTTTACTGTTTATGTGAAAAAAGAGAGAAGTTTAGGAGAGAGAGAGAAACGGAGGACAAGGGAAACAAAAAAAAGAGAGGCTATGGTTCCTAAAATTTTATAATGGCGTATATATAACATAAGTCACACAAAACAACGTATTTTAGGGATTTAGGGCAACCATGACAAGTTTTAATGTGTTAATCGTGTAATGGCTCCACCCACTTTTGAATTAATGCAATATAAT